GATATTATCATATTATGCATGTAAACAAATAGATGTGCATCTAGATCGCAAATGATGGAAACGTATTCTGATTTGTATTCACTGGTCGTGCAAGCCCAATCATTCTATTTGCGAATGGATGAGACGAAATGAAATTCAGAAATTTGGCTTATTCTACCCGCAAACACGTCAGCTTTATTACTTTCATTAATAATCATTCGGTTTCTCTTTGGATAAAGTGATGAATATCTGATAAATTTGTACTTGTCATGAATTTTTTATATATTTTTCAGAAGAAATTTTAGATAGCACTAAGAATCAAATGTATTTTATAAATTTTAAATTACATAGACTCTTGAACAAATAATTTGTGAATTAAAATTTTTTTTATAATTTTTCATTAAGATTATAATTAATATTGATTTTGCCTTGTATACGATAAAATTAATTAATTTAAATATTAATTGTACATTTTTTAGGAATGCTTTAAAGATTACAAATAGAAAAAAAAATAGATTCGACAAATGAATATTCAATAATGTCAATTTTCAATAAAATGATTCAAAATTTTTTTTTATTTCTTTGTTATTGAATCGAAGTTTTTGTTTTTTAAATCTCATTGCAATCATCAAATGATTAAAATATTTGTATCACATCAAAGATACTAAAATATTTATAATATATCATATTTTGTAAGATTGCTCAGAAATACATTGTAGCTGAAAATATAATATTTTTATTTTTTAAGATTAAGACAGATTGTAATTATAAAAGAAAAATAAATGAAATAAAATTATTCTTTATGAGATAAATTATTTTGTCTATGTTCACGTCAAAATCAAATACAAATAAGAATAATGAGAAAAAGACAGAGATACGATAAAAATATTGAAATTAGCGCCATCTCTAGAATGCCGTAAATGAAACTTATAAAGAAAGGATAGAAAATAGTAGAAAAAGAATAAAAATAAACTAAGAATTGATTACTAACGTCATCTTTTAAACACCAAAGGTACTTCTTCAAAATAGAATTGATTACTAACGTCATCTTTTAAACACCAAAAGTATTTCTTCAAAATAGAATTAGATAGAAAATTCAAAAGATGGCGTTAATACTCAATTCTATTTAAAAAGAATCTTATTTTAAAAATGCATTTAAAAGATGGCGCTGTTAATCAATTCTTATATTTCTATCCTTCTCCGATTATTTGTTTTCTTTGTCTACATTTGTGTTTAATTTGCGGCATTCTAGAGATGGCGTTGATATCAATATTTTTATCCTATTTCTGTCTTTTTTCCACTATTCTCTCTCCTTGTCTACAAAATTTATATCTCAGAAGACTAATCTAATAACTGAGTAATTATTTAGAAATTTTAAACTTTTTGTATAAGAAAAAAGATTTATTTTTCATTTACCGTATTTATTCATAAATTGAATATATTGCATGCAGTATAAAAATGATAAAAAATTTGATTTCAAATATTGTAAATAAATAATAAATATGTGGTGTTAATGTGTTTAAATGTATCTTGTATCAAATATAATAAGGAACAAGATTCAATTAATTATAATATTATTAAAATAATGAATAATTTATTATAAATTTTTTTTTTTCATATTTTAAAGTATGTATTAAAACTAATAATTTATTTTTGAACAAATTTTAACAAATCACTAATAATAATTATGTTCTAACCTCATTTATAGTTAAATTTTCATTAAATACTTACATCTACGTACATTTCACGACATAATTATTACGAATATGGCATCAATTTTAAAGACTTTTAATGGAATTCAACTATTCAATAAATGTTTGAAACAGAGGTATTGCTTAATAATTATATATAATTAATAAATTTAATTTGTATATTTAGTTTATTGTATAAATTTTCAAAAAATAAATTTGTTATTTCATTTCATTATTCAAATACTTATTTCTATTAATATATTTATTTTAGTATTGATAAAATATATATTCCTAATCGTGGTAAAAGATTGAATCCTCCACCAAAGAAACGTCATCCAGAATGGCTTCCAAAACCAACACGTGTAGTATGTATTTTAAAAAATAAAAATAATATTTTATTTCTTAATAATTTGTAAGAATTTTATATAAATATTGTTATATAATATATAATATTGTTTATATTAGTTATATAATGAAGAACTTACTTCAGAAAATAAAGAATTTCTCTCAGAAATTGTTTCATCCACTAAAGGACTACTCAATAATAATGCATCTCCATTAAGTAAAGAATTAATTCAATCAAATGCAACATGGACTCCAGGTTCTAGACGTACTGGTTTAATTGGCAAAAAGATAGGAGTATATCCAATGTGGCTAAAAAATGGAAAAAAAGTATTAACTACTCTAATACAGGTATTATCATATAATAAAATATTGAATTTTATATAACCTTATATTTAAATTCTCCATTTCTTTCTAATAGATTGTAGATAATGAAGTTATAAAATATATACCCCCAGAAGAATATAAACCAATTAAACCTGTTAGACATAGAGTTAAAGTACGAAATGGCTGTCTTGTATTAGGTGCTATAAATATTGACCCACAATTAGTAAGTTGCAATTGATCTTTTTTAATGTTTATTCATTATTTTGCAAAAATAAAATTTGTATTATTAATTTTTATAGCTTACTAAAGAATATTATGGAATATTTAATTCAGTAGGAGTTACACCAAAAAAAGTATTAATGAGATTTACAATTTCACCAAATGCTGTTCTCCAACCAGGAACTCCTTTAAATGCAACTCATTTTAAACCAGGAGAATTTATTGATATTCGTGGAAAAACGTAATTCTTTTATCAATATTTGTAATCTCAAAATTTGAAATTAATCTGAGATAAATCTGAAATATTTAATAATCAATTATAATAATCTTTATAAACATAGAATAGATCGTGGCTTTCAAGGTGTTATGAAAAGATGGGGCTTTAAAGGTATGCCTGCTTCTCATGGAGTAACTAAAACACATAGAAGACCAGGTAATATAGGTTCAGGAGGTGCAATGGCTAGGGTAATGCCAGGCACTAAAATGCCTGGACACATGGGAAATCGTTGGCGTATTCTTAAAGGTGTAAAGGTAATTTATAATTATATTCTTTTATGGAAAAAAAATTTTAAATTACTTTTACTTTAAATACATCTTATACAGATTAATAAATTTTTATTTTTTCTTTTGCAAGCATAATCATTTAAAAAAATTAGCATATAATTTTATATTGATATTATATGAATTCTTATAAAATAATATATTTTTTTATCAGTTATATTTTTTCTTAACCATTTATATTTATAATAAATTATAAAAAAAGTTAAAAAAATGAACTAAAAAAATAATTCATTCTCATTCATTTTCAGAAATGTATGAAATAAGCAAAAGAACTCAATATAGTTTAATCTTTTTTCTTATTATTTTTTTATGTATAACAATATATTAAAAAGTACAATTAAATTTCTATTTTTCAATAGAATCACGTAATTTGTTTTAGCATTTCCAATTCATCAATTAGATTGAATAAGTAATTTATTAATATAGTAACTGTATCAAATTATTATTTATACATAATATATTTTATATATGAACACTATTTGTTGTAAATATTTTTTTCAAATTTTATACAAAGATAATGAATATTTATTTTTTGTATAGAATTTTACAAAAAAAGTATTTGAAGGGTTGAGGATCAATATAACTACAAAAATCTATTTAATTTCTTCATTCATCTGTAATAATTGTTAAAAATTATGCATAACATGTATAACATTTCAGTTAATTTTTTTTATACAATTCATATTTAAAGAATGAAATATTTTTTCCATATAAAATGGAAATAAGATATATTAAATTTTGAAATGTTTACATGAAATACTTGAACAAGTAAATATTTATGATGAAACATTTGAAGATCTCTTTACATTATTAAACAATTACAAAATATTAATTTAAATGTATATTACTTTTGAAAGGAAGATATTATACAGTAATGACATTCTAAAATTATTTTACAACAACTAACAAGAAACATATATTCACAATTTATAAAACTTATATTATTCATTTATTATTTATTTAAAAATTATAGATTGTAATGTGAATCATATAGAAATTTTCAAGAATGATAAATTAGTAATACATCAAATAATTCATTAATGAGACACATAATAATTATTCCTAATATTCTACAAACAAACAAAAATTCTAATTATAATTTCATTTAAATATGTAAAATTAATACAAAAACAAAATTAAATTTTTTTGTTTAGCTTTTTGGGCATTATATGTGACTACATATAGGTTTTTTTCCATTAAGTAAAATTCATTTTTAACTATTAAAAATCATGAAATAAAAAACATTGTAATAAAAAATCTTAATTTCTTATAATTGCAATAGTGAATTAGCAGTAATTATGAATAAATCGTTGTTAAAATTCAATTTTAAAAAAAATTTATAGATAAAATAATAAATAATTTTAACAATATAATATATTGAAAGATTATTAACAATGTTATTAAAAATTAGAATGACTTCAAATTATTATCGAACTTTTGTATGTATGTTGCAGATACTACGAATAAACACTAAATATAATGTAATTTGGGTATTAGCTCAAAACGTACCAGGAGAGCTAAATACTATGTGCTATTTATACGATACGCTTTTATATACTAAAAAAAGTACTTCGCCATATTTTCCTACATATTTGCCAAATGAAAGTGAACTACCTGAAAATCTTTATGCAGATGATGTTCATCCATTTGAGAATCCTACAATTGAATTCAAATCAGAATCATAATTGTAATAATGTAATAAATAAAAAATATATATAATTATAAGAACATGTTTTATGAAAATATTTAAATCTCTTCAAATTTTTAGATAACCTGTCTATTCACGCTATCGAAAGACTAGGCAAAGATCGGCAATTAATGTTGCCGCATTTACGTAATAGTTTTATTGTTTATCCTCTTCCCCTTACAGAAATAATTCATAGTCATGAATTAAGCTAATAAAGAGTAGTCAATTGATTTATTTATTTAGTAATCAATATTATTATAAATTTAACATGCCTAAAATATACACGAATTATTTTATAAATGTAACATCACTAACCAAGATTCATCTCAAGTTAGAGTGGAGAGCAGCACGATCAAACAATAAAAAAGTTTTTCTTTTCTTTTTCTGTGACGCTCTTCAATTTAGAGAGCAAATTCATTAATTTACTAGAATAATTTAGTCGGTGTAATGCATATCAATAGCTGCATTCGGTTCCGCTCCACTAAGCATTTTAGTATGTGCAACGGAAAAGGAAACAAGGTAAAGTACACATCGTTCAAAAATAAAAAAAGGAAAAAATACAAATTCTTATTTCAATAAGAAACTCCTTTGCTCTGTAACTTTAGCCTCGTTTTTTTTTCTAATTTCTCACTTTTTGGACAAACCAAAAATGTAAGTCATAATTTTATGTTTTTGAATTAGTAAAACCAAATACAATTGTTGATTCAACAATGTCACGTTGAAATTGCCACATGTAGTCGTTGAAGAAAGAATGAGACAGAATATAAAAGGGTAAGCAGAATGGCTCCGTAATGGAGATTTTCGGGGGACGGCACGATCAGATAAAAAATAATGGAGGCCCTCTCAGAATTTAAAACCTTCATTCGAAATGCTCGTCGTCTGATCGAATTCAAATGTTGATTCCACAACTTGTGGTTCCAGATTTGTATCATTCGTCTAAAAACATTAGAAAATACATATTTTTTTATATTAAAAACATTAATGGAAATTACTTCTTAATTATAAAAATAAGATAAATACATACATCTTCCGAAAAGTATTGCTCAATAATTTCGTATGCTAGTTTATAAATATCTATGTTGTCGTGATTTTGTAATGTTTCGATTTTATCCAATCCTATGAAAATATATTTCATAATATAAATTTATATATTTATTTTTGTATTGTACATAATATTATATATTATAAAAGAAAAAAAGATAAATACTAACCTGAACATTCTTCAATCATATTAGCCAAATGTTCAACTTGTGATCCAGCAAGTTTGAGCATATTATGTATACCATCTAAAACAACCTGTACAACTTGAGTATCTTTACAATCAAGGAGGTTACAGAATGGTCCAATAACACCTTCTTGTATCATTCGTGCAACCTGTTCTTCATTACCACTTATTGTTAAATTGCTAATTGCCCATGCTGCTTCTTTTTGTGTTTGGAATTCACCCTGGTAAAAGATAAATTTATTATTAAAACAAATGATTCAATTTAACAAATTTCAATATTTTAATAAAAGTATTTTCTTACATTAATTAAATTGTGAATAATAAGAGGCAGTAGTCCAGCATCTATAACTGCTTGAACCTGAGATTGATTGCCAGCAGTTACATTTGAAAGGAACCAAACTGCTTCTTTACAAATTTTTTCCCTCGTATGGGTTAATAAATTCGGGAAATATGAAAGCGCATCACAATTTAATACAGTTTGTGTTTGTTCGTCTGTACCTGTTACTATATTACCTACTGCCCTTAAAGCAGCTGTTTGCACCTTAACTTCTTTGTGCGAAAGAAGTGGTATAAGACGAGGTACTACGCCACTATCTATAACCATCTGAATTTGTTCATTACCACCATCAGTCAAATAACTCAATGCCCAAATTGTGTCGACAAGAATCTGCAATTTTATTTTGTATATAAACAATTATTTCTAATTATAAATACATTAAAGATTATTTTTTAATTATATATAATATATATAATATTGTAACTTACATTAATATCTGAATGATGAATAAGTACATTAAGAGCAGGTAAAATTTCCTTAATAGTTTGAACAGGTGGTGGTGGATCTTTATTCCTACATAAATTTACGATTACCCAAGTTACATTACGTAAAAAACTAATTGGTATTTCTGGTTTGATAAACGTTAACAATGGCGGTACAACGCCAAGCTTGATAACATAATCCCTAGATGCTGGGCCATCTCCAATAATATTTCCTATAATGAATAAAAATATATGAACAATAATAGAATATATATATATGTTTTAGTTCAAACAAAATAAAAAATGAAAATAAAATAATAATATATCAAAACATAATTTAAATTTAATATCATAAATGAATTTTTTTTTAGATATGTTATAATTTTAATTATAATGCTTTTTTTAATATTTATATTAATTTACCTAAAGCCCATACAGCTTGTTCACAAACATTCTGTTGACTTGAAAGTAACAAATGCAAAAAGTGTGGAACTGCACCAGCTGCAACAACTGCTTGTGTTTGAGGTGATGTTCCACTTGCAATGTTTGTTAAAGCCCATGCTGCTTCAAATTGTAATGATGGACTATAAAGTATTAAAAATTAATAATAATGTATTAATAGTAAAAAAATTACTAAACTAATAATAACAAAGCATTAAAAATAATAGACTCAAATACTAAAACAGAAAATTTATCATAATTAATCATAAAAAAATATATATATTCTAAATTTATAAAAATATTAGCAATCAAATTTCATTTGTGATCAAACATTTTTTTTCTAATAAAAAAAATAAGCTAATTGTAATGTGCACGCGTATGCGCTATAAATTAAGATTGTATGCAAATTTAATCATACCTATTGTGCTGTTCAAGACAATTAACTAAGATCGGTAAAATGCCACTATCAATTAACTTATCGATTGGTGGATTACGATCTGAAGATAATAACTTTCTTGCTGATTGTACCGCTTGTAATTGAACAGTTGGGTCTGAACTAGCAGCTTTCATTACTAGTTCTTTTAAATTGATTTTTGATAAATCAATGTTTTGTTTATCACTATCTTCTTCATCTAAAATAAAATATTATATTATAACTTATTTTTTATTTAATTCTTTATATTTATATAAAGAATATATTTTTCTATTTATATATATATTATATATTATATAAAATATATATGTTTATATTTAATAATTTTACCTATTAAATCTGTAGCAGGCACATTTCTTCTTTTCTGTAAAGTCTCATCACGTTTATTTTTCCGTAACTCTACTGTTGCTTCATTTCTTCTTCTTCTCATTTCCTAAAACATATTATCATTTAAATGCTTTTAAATCATTATTAATTAATATTTATGTAACACTTTAATCTTTCTTAAATTTATCTAAAAAAAGATTATATTAAATTAGAATATTTATATTGCAAAAATAATATATAATAAAAAAATAACTAA